ATGATCAGGACAGCTGTCACACAGTTAAGACAAGTGTGGCACATTGGGTCTTTGTACACCTCTTGTTTTTATGGATTATGCCCTCCAGTTCAGCCAGGTCACAACCACAATTCAGTACTTGCTCCAGGACCAGTCACCAGGAAGGAGTCAGGCAGCTCATTGGTCATTCATTCCATTCTAACAAGGAATTTTCCACATTTAAAGATATGGAGGCGAGCATTAGACATGATATGTTATCTTCATGTGTTTGTGTTTTGGCTTCTTCTCACAGTGTAAGATATAAAAAAAGATCTAAAAAGATATAGAAATAAGAAATAAAAATGAATTACAATATAAAAACATTTGCCAATGATTGCATATTTTTCACATGCCTTCACATGCTGGGTCATGGAGCTATCCTTAAGTTATTTGATTTCCAGTCTTATTTCCATCATAGCTTGTGTCATGGCCCAAATCCCTATATTATGTAGCACAAGGTGTAATTTGTGCACAACTTGCACTTAACGCATAAACTTGGTTGGAAACCAACTTATATCCATTGATGCCACAAATTGTGTTGACATGCATCAGGCACAAATAATTGAATAATTTGATGATCATGTTTTTTTACCTTGAGTACCATATAGCCATGTATTTGGTGGCATTCCATGACATTGTCATGGGGTCCTGCACGCTAAGGTGATGTTAAAAAAGTCTGCACAAAAAAGTTTGTGTAAGTTTGCAGGTGTCAAGCTCAGAAACAAGAGGGTTTTCAGTTTTTGGAAGAGCAGTACTGTGAACAGCAATTACATCTGCCAAATGGCTATCTCATTTCAAAGCTCCACACAAATGTGGGACACTCCCTTTAAGGATTAGCTTTCCCAAGCATCTCTGAGATGCTGGGATAACCATTCCAGCCAGGTGACCAGGCTAATGCTTTGCTGATTTCAGAGTTTGTCATTGTGAAAGGCTTTAGTCCTGAATGGTTGACCAAAGAGGCTGTGTGCTTGAGGATCCTCATGCTGTGCAATGCCATGCCGGGACTGCTCACCCACCACTCTATTGATCAGCTGGTTCTGAAGTCACATGCCAGCTCATTCTGGTTGGATCAGGCCAAGAATGCATCCTTGGCTGGCACACTGCGCCATTGGGTTATAAGTTATACATCTATCTCCAAAAATATGGTGATGGTAGAATGCACTTTGTTGTCATGTGTTTACTGAAATTTACTGTTGTTGGCAGGTGCTCATTTATGTCTGTGCTGTTTGAATGATCCATGGAGGTCTTAAACACTCACCTGTGCAGCCAGTTGAATGTGATATGCTCAGGTGACAAAAACTGAGTGGGCTTGAGACACAAAATTCATTTGGCAGGTGGGCGGTATGGGAACTGACTAGTATTCATATTCAAATTTAAATGAGTATCAAGGGCTACCCTGGTTGAAATGTTGTTTAAGCAGAAGATTGCTTGGTGTCATGGGTCCTTAACCTCCTGTGACCTTCATGAAGTCCAAACAAAATGCCTATTAACATCCCTGTGCTCAAGAAATTCATAGAAACATCCAAAACTTTTCCACAAAGCAACTTCTCTGGTTAAAAGGCAGTTTGTTGTTGACCTCACTGTGACCCTCATGCATGATCCAAGGTGGATGGAATGGGCCGTAGTTCTAAATGTAATCACGTAGTCATCTAAGCAACCCATTCAAAGACATATGGCTTCGTCTCACACTCCATTGCCATGTCAGAATGAACATTTCCCTGCAAATTGCCTTTGCTGATATGCATGACCTGCCTTTGACCTGCCACAGGTCAGTGACCTTTACAAGGTGCATCTTATTCATACCACAATATGGGCTATTGCATTACCTGCAGCTACACATAGCTTTGACGCGGCTGTGGTGTGCCATTCAAAAGTTACTGTGGAAAACATTTGGGGAGGGTCAGTTTGACCTCTCCCCCCACTCGGGCTCGTGATACTAAAATGTGTTGTTTGAATGCCTGCTCAATGTCCACAGGGCAATCATGGCATTAGACTTCGATGTCGAAACATTCCTTCATAACTTGAAGGCAACAAAGCCTCCATATGAGTGTCCAGTGGAGAACTGTGGAAAGGTATACAAGAGTTTCTCCGGCATTCAAGTCCATCTAGACAACTATGACCACAGTGTTGCTACTCCTGCCACACAGTCTTCAAAATCTGGTAAGTCATAAGCAAGCAACTACTGTGTAATTAAGTTTTACTAATCCCGCTCGCGAATTTTGCGCACGAGCACTTTGCAACAGAGTGAGGGATACTGCTCAGTAATACATCGACGCGGATGCTCGTTCACTCACGGGCAGTAATCTGCAGTTAATGCATCATTATTGGATGCTGCATGGCATCAGCACATCCCACTGAGTTTGTCACGCCCTTGATGTCCGCGCAGCTCGGAAGAAGGGCAAGAGCCGGCGCGGCCAGGCGGACCGGTCGCCGTCGCCGGTGCCTTTCGAGCCCGTCAAGGTGTCGCGCGAGCCCAAGATCAGCTACGTGGACGCCACCAAGATGCTGGAGTATGAAGCCGATGGCTGCTCCCTTAGCTTCAGCATCTCCGACAGGCTCACCATCATGTCCAAGGTATTGACGGCTTTGTTGGCAGTGTAACAGTATGCAGTACCCATGTATGTTCTGGAAAGGAGCACCCCTGCTGTACAAAGCCCAATCAGACAACATTTGGTGTGAGAATTCTGGGCCAGCTTCAAGGTCTTTGCTGTCTTGTGATGGGACAGCAAATTGGGTGTCTGCCCGGACATATCTTTGGACAGTCATTATATCTGTACTTGCCAGACCTGGGGCAAACCACAGCTATCTTTCCGGTCCAGCCTTACTTCTGGATAGTGAGTCAAATCGTAGTCAGACCAGTCCGCTTCAGGCCCCCAGCCACGAGCTGGCTACGTCGGCACTCAGCTGTTCCGCTGCAGCACCATTCTATCTTTGTGGTTGCTGCAGACCGAGTTCAAGTCACCTCATGTGACTGGTACAAATGGAGTTTGAGTGTTACAGGCCAGGTGCGAGTTTGCTCCCTATGTATGTCACAGGTCGAGTGCGAGTCTCTCTGTGTGACTGGTGCGGGCCATGTGCGAGTTTCCGCATGTCTGTTGCAGGCCGAGTACGAGGCGCTGGTGCCGCCGCCGCAGGTGCTGCCCTCTAGCCCGGAGCCGGCACACCCTACGCCTGCCAAGCACGGGCCGGTGCGTGCCGGCCGCGCCGCCAGCGGCGAGGCGCGCCACCTGAGCCAGGCCGGCGACGAGCGCCGGCAGCGGGCCCTGCCGGAGGCCGCCTTTTGCGAGGGCGCTGACGACTATCAGCTAGACGACGCGCCGCCCATGCCCAACAACTACATCAGGTGAGGGCGCCGGCTGGCCGGCCGGCCGCCACCTCAGGCATCCGCGTGGGGAATCGGGAGCTGCTCCCACGAGTGCCGTGTGAAGGCCGAGCAGCGTCCTCCCAGAGTCACGTCCGGGGTCTGGAGGGGCAGCTTCCTCCCAGAGTCACGCCCGGGGTCTGGACGGGTAGCGTCCTCCCAGAATCACACCCAGGGTCTGGAGGAGCAGCTTCCTCCCGAAGTCACCCCGTGGTCTGGACGGGCAGCGTCCTCCCAAAGTCACGCCCAGGATCTGGAGGGGTTTGGAAGGGTCTGGAGGGCTCGTTCGTGGTTGGGACGTCGCGTGCGGTCAGGTGAGTGGTGTCTCGGACGCTTGCTGTGATTGTTGGCTCTTTGGCCAGGCGGCCTGGATTCTGGGGAGTGGCGATTCGCGTGGCCGCTCCCCTAGCGTAGACCACCGCGCCAGCGGCGGCAGCGGCACGCTCGTCCGTGGCGTCGGTGCTCAGCGAGCCGTTACCGCGCAGGTTCATCGAGAAGTCGCTGGACGAGCTGGACGAGGAGGTCGAGTACGACATGGACGAGGAGGACGTGGCTTGGCTGGAGATCACTAACCAGCAGCGGCGCGAGCGCAGCCTGCCGCCCGTGCTGGACCGCGACCTGGAGATGCTGATGGACCGGCTGGAGAAGGAGAGCTACTTCCAGGTACGCTTGCCGCCGCGCGGCTGGCGGTGACGCGCAGCTCCGTGTGTCGAAACCTCCGGTACGGATAACGCTGACAGGCAGCGCTCCGTTAAGTATGCGCTGGTAAAGGGATACTGGACATTGAAGACGAGGAAAACAGCCAAGGTAGTCGACGTACGCACATGCCGGGGGTGTACATCTGAAATCTAACGCATATTGTGGGGCGCAGTCTAAGAATATGTAAATGCCCATTTGGGACAGAGCCCTTATTTGCTCTGCGACCTCCTACAAATTTACGTAAGTCTAGAACGTTATCTTCACCTTTGTTCAGATACTGGAAATTTTCTTATGTTATCTTCCTGTCATTCATTGGACCTGGAATGGACTATTCGTTGGACGTAGGGTATGTTTTTGACACCGATGCTCCCAGTGTCGGCGTCGGTCTGTTGAGGTGTTATTACGTTTCGCACAACATCCACTCATGTCCGCGAATGGCTGGAAGTCTGATTTAAGCAGAGGTTACTGAGGACACTGACGACACTGATACTGAGGGTGCTCTGAAATTGTCAGTGTTGCCAGTCGTGTATTTTATCTTGGGCATTAAGTTCACTATAGCGCTGCTGACGCGTCGAAGCCGGCGTGCCCGGCTCCCGTACGTTGCGTGCGCATGTGGGCGGGCCGCGGTCTTCGCCGCCTGAGTGCACGCC